AATTTGCCATGAACTCAACTCAACATCTACAATACAACCATGCATGCAAGGATTGAGCTTCAATTCAACAATAATGAACCAAAACATGACTTAGTTCTACAATGAAGCATGAACCATGCATGAATCAACTTAAAGACACAATCAAGAGGATGAAATTCATACCTAGGTTCCTTAATTACTAGTCTTGAGGTTCAATCTAGCAAGAACTCCTTTCAATTCCTCCAATTCCAAGCAATTCTAAAGATGAATCAAGTTGAATCACTCTTTTCCTCTTACTCTCTCTCTTTCTATCTTGGTCGGTTGAGTCTAAGGAAAGAGCTGATGAAATGTGTATGAAATGAGGCTCAAAGATGAATCAAGAAGTGGCCACTAAGGCTAGTTTGGTAAATAAGTCCAACTTAAGCAATTGATCAATATTTAATCTAATTTAATTATACCTAATCAGTTTTCAGATAATTATACCATAAAATTACATTAATTCTACTGATCAAGGCTCATTAATCAATTCCGGATTCGGCCGCCGATAAGGCCTTCAATTAGCAGTTTAAACATAAAACATGAACAGATCAAATAAACAATCAAACAGATAGAATACAGATTAACATATATACTCAGTCAATTCAGTTCCAGTTTTCAGTCAGTCAGTTCAGTACTTTAATCAGTTCAATTATCAGTCATGATCAGTTCAATTTGATGGTAATCAATGTTTATCGGTGAACAGTGGTGAGGGTTATTACAAGAAAAGTCTCTTAGGAAACTTAGAGCCTCTACCCGTATTCCTAGGCTTGAATATTCATATCCATACTTTGAAGTAATAGAGATGGAAAACCCGAATGGCCTAAATGGGCCCAACCGGACCCTTAAGGATTACTTCACACCCACTGCATACACATTACCATTATGCATCCAATTACCCGACACCACTGCTGCTTATTATGAGATTAAGTCCAGCACCATACAAATGCTCCCATCATTCTATGGACTAGCTCATGATGATCCTTATAAACATTTGAATGAATTTTTGGAAATTTTCTCTACAATGAGGATCCAAAGTTTCACAAATTAGGCCTTAATGTTGCGATTATTCCTATTCTCATTAAAGGACAAAGCCAAACACTAGCTAAACTCCTTACTTGCTAATTCTATCACAACTTAGGACCATTACAGCAAAACTTTTTGGAGAAGTACTTTCCCATTAGTAAGACTAACCAACTTAGGCGAGCCATTACCAATTTTGTTCAAATTGATGGCGAGCAATTTCATGAGACATGGGAGAGGCTTCGTGACCTCCTCCAATAGTGTCCCCACCATCAAGTGCCTGATTGGCAACTTGTTCGAACATTTTACTATGGCTTAAAAGCACAAAACATCGGGCCTTCTTCTTACCTTTTTATACCTCTGTTGTCTTTCAAATAGGTTCAAAACATCGGGCCCATTTTTCGAGTTATGGTCTCACGTGCGTGAAAAGTCAACGCACGTGCGGGAAAGTCAACATACGTGCGTGAAAAGTCTTTTCTCTCCAAATTCTGTATTTTTGTCCATTTTATGCTCCGACTATGCACAACCTGATTGACATTAAACAGACATAAAATATATAGTTTGACAAGCAAGTAAAGTTAAGAGATCCTAATTAATAGCCTCAATGTTTCACAATTCGGCCTTAATCACCTTATACTTTCAATAATATCAATTTTACATTTAACTTATTCAATTTGGATCAATTTCACCCTTATCGTTATTGCCACCTATAATAAGACAACACTTGCTGATGTGACACCAAATTTTATTTAAAACATAATTTTACCCCCAAACTATCCAAAAAAAATCAATTAGACACTAATATAGAATATTTTTAAAATATTTAATAATAAATTTTCATCTAAAAAAGTGAGAAAAATAAATTTAAAAAAAAAAATTAAATATTAGTCCTATTTAGTATTCTTTAGAAAGTAATTGCTAAATTTTGCGTTACATTGTCATTTAATCAATAATACTAGGGGTGCTCGTGGATGAAATTGGGTCGAGTAACCTCCATCCGCTGTCCATCTGAACTTAGGCTGATTGAAAAAAATCAATCCGCATCTATCAGCCTTGTTAGTGGATGTGGATTGAGCAGTCCATGCAGGTTGGTGCATTGGTGTGAATCGACTTGGCAGTTTAGATTTTACTGTTTTATGCTCTTTTTTTTTGGAACTATTTTTATAGTACCTTTTTTTATTATTTTGAGCCTTATTTGAGTCCAAAATTTTTTATTCATCATTTTTTATAATTAAAATAAAGGAATTTTTTTTTTATATTTCATAAATATTTAATTTATTAGTAAATAAAATGTCTTTTTTTTTTTTTAACATACAAAGCATAAAAATATAATATCATTTTCTTAAGGGGTTGGTAGATCGAGTTGGATCTAGTGGCTTCTCATTCGCACAAACATAGGTGGATTTAAAAAAATCTCCATTTACATTCGTCTGCTCATACTATCGAAACTGCTTAAAAACTGGTGGATTGGGTCGGGTTAGGTCTAGTAGGTTTTGGCGAATTTATCGGGTTCGTGAATACCCTTAGATGATACAATTGTGTAGATACTAATCTCAATTTTGTAAGTAGATCTCAATATATTCATATTTGTCGTTCAATAAAATTTTTCAAATGGCAAAAATGATGTTATTCGCATAATAAGTGTGGCCTAATTTTTATCGACTCAATTTCAAAATTACTATGGGTTGTTTTGAAAAGATGGTTAAAAACTGATTTTTTGGTTTTTTTTTTTAAATTTTTTTTGAAAAAACGTATAAAAAATATGAGAGATGATTTTATCCAAAATGGGTTAAAAATTGGAAGATGATGGCTTTTAACTATTTTCCCAAAATAGCCCCATGAGGCGATCAATTCTAAAGAAATTATTTTGGAAAATAAACTAGTTACAATTGCTTCCGCACACATACAAAGTAATCAATGAATTTTTAACTCAATTAGTTTCTTCAAGTTTGATTTAAGAATAATTTGAAATTTAAAAAGATAATCTTAAATGAAGATTTTTATATTTTTTTTAGATAAAATTAGTCTAAGGTCCCTCTCTTACTTTTAGTGATGGAAGAGATCCATAATATTATTTTATGATGTCTAAGGTGCCTTAACTCTACACCCATATATACACCCATATATCCAGAGAAATTCCAATGGTCTTAATCTTGTCGTTGGCCTCAATTCTCCGGTCTTACCTCGCTTTGCTCCTCACCAAACTCACCCCATGATCCTTCGACATATGTTCTCCAAACCAGTGGCATTACTCACTGCCTCCTCTTCTGTTTCTGATGATTCTGTTGAACCTACATGTTTTAACACCACCAACAAGTCTCCTGCTTGGAGTCAGGCCATGAGCTGGGTCATCATTGCCAAGTCCGCCGTCGAAGAAATCATCGCGCGGGGAGATCTCTGTTCGCTCAGATCCAAGCGGAAAAGGTTATTGCCGGCAAGGTATGGTCGATCGAAGCCGTCCTTTCTACGTCATGTCTGACTGGAGGTATGACTTTCTGCCGGCGCGGTACGGCGTTCCGGTGGCGGCCCTTTGCTAGTATGTAAGATTGCTGAAGATGTTAAGGTGTTCATTGGCCATGTATATATATATATATATATATATGTAATGTAATAGGCTTCATTGCATTTTTTCCCCTCTGTATTTATCTTCTTAATGTATACAAAGCTGCCTATGATGTTAAGCAGAGAAATTTGCCTCCATCTCTGGCATCCTAGTCACAGAAATTGGAATTTCTTTGGATTGGAGAAGAAGAATTTCTCTAGTTTGGGTTGGAGAGGGAGAATTTCTCTGGGTTAAGTGAATTTCTCTGGATTGGAGATGAGAATTTCTCTGGTTTTCAGTGAATTTCTCTGAGTTAGAGAGGTGAATTTCTTTGGGTTGAAGTGAATTTCTCTGGAAAGTCTTGATTTCTCTGGTGAGATTTTCTCTGTGCAGTCTAGAGAAATTCTCTGGGTAGAACTTTCTCTGGATCAACTTGAGAGACCTTAGACATTATTAAAATATTGAATGTTCTTTATGCTATAAAATTTTAATACAGGGGACCCTAAAAAAAATTCCCCATTTTTTTTTTGCAAAGTATATTATTTATTTATTTTCATTTTGCATCCCACTGATAGTTGTATTTGCGATTCTAATTGATTTGTGAGGTATAATTTGAAGGTAAACTAAAATTTCAAATAAAATTTAGTATCACGACGCCAAGTAATGGCAGAGATAAAATTGATAAAAAAATAAATAGTTTAAATGTAAAATTAGAGTGTGTTTGACGTGTGTTAAAATAGCACATGCTATTTTAGCATATTATTTTATTTGAATATTGCATTTTATTTGGATTATATTATTTTTTTATTACATCACTTCAATTTTAACTCACATTTTATATATTTTCATAAAAAATTAAAAATATATTAATTTAGTACTTTTTAAATAACATTTTAATATAACTGAAAATATAGATTGATTTTTGAGTGATCCCTTAAAACGCGAAATAATATTTGATCGAAAACAAAAATTAGGAGGAAAGTGGAACTAAAATTAGGAAACTAAAAATGCTTAGGAATACTAAAAAGGGAGCATCAGGAGAGTACTAATGAGTTGGCTCTCCTCATGATGTGATGGGAGTCTCTATCTGTTTATTTTATTTATTTATTTTTTTTTTACATTTTCAGCTCATTAGAGCTATTAATGCTCTGTTTTTTAGAGCTCCCAATCAATTTTGAAAAATTAACCATATTTCATCGAAAACAAAAATTAGCCCTAGTTTAGCTAAGATTTTGGGGTTAAAAAGTATAAAAAAATAAAATAGATTATATATGGCAATAAAAAAAAATATTACATTTTATTCACAATCATTATATTTTTTTTTCTTCATCAAAATCAAAAAAATTTAAAAAACTAAACCAAACGAAATTAAAAAAAAGGTAGGCTAAAAAAATCGCAACGCAACTAAAATTGGCTATTGCCAAACGAGCTCTTGGGGGGAAAGAGGAAACTAGGAAATTAACCAGCGGTCTTCTCTAAGTCCGTCTAGAGAGAGAGAGAGGGCGGTCGGTCTCGGTCGATGAAAGAACGATGAGATTGGACTATCACACGGTCCTGCTGTTGCTCACATCGTTCAATCTTCTTCTCCCTTCTACCTTTGGTACCATCATCTCTCTCTCTCTCTCTGAGTAGGGTTTTATGTGCTCTTTTACAATTTATTCATTCAACAAGCCATTTAGATTCGTTTTAGGATATACATATGTATGTGTATATGTATGTTGTGTTTGATTTCTTTTTGTATGTGGAAAATAGAGTATCTAATTTGTGTAATGATAGAATTTCTTTAATTGCAATTCTTTAGACACAATGTATTGTAGGAAAGCTCTCACTTTCGGTTGTTTGTTGTTGATTTCATGTTTTGCTCGTCTTATGGAATACTTGTGCATCTGCCAATGTGTCTTTTATGTCTGCTTCTACATCTAATGGACTTATATTTAATTTTAATTTTAATTTTTTTTCCTAGCAGAGATTTAAATCTTTCTTTTAAACATAATAATTTTTTTGAAACCACGTATATATATATATATATATTTTGAAGTGCTTGAACTTTATGTGTTGTTGCGTGGTGTAACACGAGTATGGTGGGGGATGCAGGGCCACCCTCTTTTTTTTTTTTTTTTGTTCTTTTTTTTTGGGGGATAAATATGGGCCTGGCAAAATCTTAACCTTTTACCTTTTTACCAAAAAAAAGAAAAAAAGAAAAAAAAAATGTAAATACTTAAAAAATAGTTATTTGCTAGTATTCACACAATATATAATCACTAAAATTTACTTACAAAGATAGGAAGGAATCAATCCAATTTATAATAAGAAAAAAACACGCAACAAAATGTAAAGTCATAATACCAGATAAAATTTAAACCAACCACAACAAAGTGTTACTAAAACACTACACTTGTTTAGCTTTAAATTTTTTAAGTACATTTGCATAATCTAGTTTATCTATCTTATCATTTTCAATGTATAAGCTAGCTAGCTAATTCATTTAACCTCTTTTGTGACATGATTGATTGAAGGTAAGATTTGATCAACTTCAAATTTGAAAAATTTCTTTCTCCGAAGCAACGATAAATAGTACGCTATAATGGGCCCTCTTTTCAAATTTCTAATACTATAATCGATTAAATAATTTGGAGGCCCTATTTCCCCCCAACATGCCCGCCTTGGTGGTGTCCCTTAAGGGCCAGGCTTGGGGTGATGGGTCACATTTCTATATGCATGTGCTATAGATGAATTAGGAAAGTAAATTTCTTCTTCGCTTGCAGGTATAATATCATTGCATATGGTAATCTGTTTTACTTGAATATGATAACTAAGGAAGCTTTCACATGGGACACGATATTTTCAAGGGCACTTCATCTAGTCATTGACTTGTAGCCCAATGAAGAATATAGTGCTAAGCCAACATTCATTTGGGTCATGTTTGATAACGGGTATACGTTTTTTTTGGGATTTAACTGAATTTATAATACCATGAAATTATGGATCGGATTAGTAGTACGTAGGATAATGGATATGATTAGTAATACCATGGGAGTATTTGTACTACTTTTTAGTAGGGTAGGATGTAACATTGGATAAGATGAGAAAAACATAGGATTAGCAATCTGGAGGAGACGCGTGGGCCTAAATGTCTTCTTCAATTTAGTCAAAGGCTAATTTGGCCTTCCATATCTGATAACAAACATGGCCTTAGAATCACCATTATGTGTCACTTCTTTCCAAGACAGTGTCATGCCTACAATTTATTCATTGGCAGCTCAGTACTACATTCAAACTAGTGATGTCACTAATTGAGGATGCTGCTCACTGTGCAATAGTATATAGAGACAATACTTTCATACCATTGGTTTAGTTCTTGAACACTCAAATGGATTAGCCTTTTGAAAGACTGCAACAACAACAATAATATATGCAGTCACTATGTGCATGCCATAGGTCTTGTAGTTTTTGAACACTCAAATGGAAACAACAACAATTATATATAGTCACTATTTGAATGCCATAGATCTAGTAGTTCTTAAATACTTGAATGTATTAGTCTTTTGAAAACAATGACAATACTAATAATATATAGTCACTACTTGTATGCCATGCCTTAGGTCCAGTAGTTCTTGAACAATCTAGTGGAAACAACAAGAACAATAATGATAATATATAGTATATAGATTCACTTCTTACATGCCACAATAACAACAGTAATATATAGAATCACTTCCTACTTGCCATAGCTACAGTAGTTATTTAACACTCAAATGGATTAGTCTTTTGTATTTAGCGGTTCAACAAGATAAAAAAAATTGTTCAAATGGATGAATTACCATTTCCTTTCCTACCAAATTCTTTCATTTGTGTGAATTTTTTTACTGGCAAAATAGTTTCTCAATTAGAAGATTAGGGAAATTTTTTTACATGCTGATCTACAATATAATCAATTTGACATTGAGTCGTGGTTATTTATTTAATATTTTTATTAGTTGACTTGGAATTAACAACTATTAGTAAATATGGTTTTGTATGGACTTGTGTTCGGGATAAAAGGGAAAAATATTGCTTGATTTAAAAGTTTGGTTGAAATTTAAAATAGTTTCGCAAAGATTTTGAACAAGTTAGCCATTTAATACAATTGTTAATGATGATTTTTTCAACAAACTAGTTGGAAATTGAATTGAAAGTCAGCTAAATTTCGTTATTTAAGAAAATGAATTGGGGTGTCCAAAGAAAATTCAATATTTCTACTAGTTGGACAAATTTGGATTTGAGCCACAAAAAAAGAAAAAAAGAAAAAAGAAAAAGAATAATAAGCATTTTGTGAACCATGACTATATTGCTAGAGATTGGTTGTCGGTGTGTGACATGTAGAAGGATTTTGATGTAGTGTTGTTTGGGTTATGTATTTTCTTTCTTCTTTATCTTCTTTGTAGAGGATGCCTTATCCTCATTTCTTTCTTGTTCATTAATAAATTCCTTTGTTGTTGATCAAAAAAGCCATGACTATGTTTTGATATGGCGAGATATTCTAGTGAGGTCATATGCAATTGTTGGCAAGGCGAGAAATTGCTAATTAGTAGTATTTGAGACTGTTGGTTGCAATTATTCTTAAAAGATGTTGTGCACTAAACTAGGGCTCCAACTCAAGCAGTCTAAGAGTGCTAAGAGATATGTTCAAGTGATTACATTGGATTACCACTTGCAATGTTAAACATAAACATAATAAATTCTCATTACAAAAGTAATTATTCATCACCAATTACATTTATCATTCCTCCTTAGTTTTCACAAAAAACCAAATTGAAAAATGTGTACAAATATCTTTATTGTTTAGTTCCTAAAAGGTAAACCAAAATTTAAGATAAAATATATGTTCTCTACATATTTTATTTTTCTGTTTTAGTTTGATTTTTTGAGATTTGTATGTTTTAGTGCTGAAATATTGGAATTGGTAATGGTTTGTGCCTAAAGGGGAGTGAATAGGCCAAACATTGAAAATAAAATCACTTTCGAAATTATCGGCCAATTAATTGAGTCAATTTCATATAATGTTGATAGTATCAAATCACAAAAAATTAAAGTAATAAATAGAACATAATGATGCACAACGTGCGAGTAATGGTTTTTTTTGGAGAAAAATCCTAGTTTAGATCATTCAATTAAATGCCGACTAGATTCGAATATAAGACTATCCTAACAAGACCTTACTCCATTTCCATCTGAGCCCAAGACTGAGGGCTAGGCTATGTACCATGGATATGAGTAGGAAGTAGATATGGTTGGCCACAATCATACTATAGTGTTGGTTATTGTGAGTGTTTTTGGCAAGAGTGGCATGGCCATATCCTTGGTATTTAGACCGTGAAGCACTAACACTTCAACTTATGTCTGACACGTGCTGGGCACTTACACTCCTTTGACATAAGGTGATATGTATTAGCTAGGAAGCACAGGTACAAGATAAGATACGATATAGGTACAACGATTTGACAAAACCTGAAAAGTAAGATACGGGTATGTTGATGATACGTTTGTAAAAAAATAAAAAAAAATTATTTATCAAAAAAAAAATATATATTTTTCTTTTTTAGTTATGTAGTATGCATAAAAATAAAACCAAAACTAAGAGTACATTAATAATTATTATTATTATTATTATTATCACACAAGACATCACTTGGGAAGGTAAAATTAATGTAACATATTAATATTTCTAATATCATTTGCAACATAGTGCATTAATGTAAAATTCAAAGCCGTCACTTAAAATAAAAAAAAAAAAAAAAAATGCAAGAAAAGAAGTCTAAACTCACTCAATCAACAAAAATTGAAATAATGAAAATGTAACATGCAGATTGCCTATGAAATAAACCAAAACAAGAGAAAAATGAATCGATAAAGGAAACTAAAAATGAGAGAGAGAGAGAGAGAGAGAGTCCTGTTATTGTCGATCGAGGTAGAGAGTGTGTGAGAGATTGTTGTTGCTAGATCAAGACAAAGAGAGCGAGCAGGAGATTGAGTGACTGAGAGAATCTTGCTACGATCGAGTTCCTTGCCCAGTTATAAAAACATATTTTTTCACCGTATTGGTGCTATGTCTCTATCATTATTTTTATTTTGGAAATTATCGTGTCCGTCTCTGTTATCAGAATCTTACGATTCGCGATTCGATTCACGATTCGATTCACAATTTTTGTACAATCGATACGAATCTATAGGTGAATCTATTTTGGAAGTGAATCTCTAGTGAATCGTACGATTCACAATCGATTCACGATTCGATTCACTTTTTACGATTCATGCAATTTTTGAAATTATTGTGTCCGACATATTTCGTCTCTTTTTTTGTCCATCTTTTTGGTGAAAATTACATAATACAACTTCTAGTAGTGTTTAATACCAAAATAACTAACGTATATACATGATTTGTTGTTATTTTAGTAATTATGGAGTTTTTAATATGATTCAATTAGATTTAATCAGACCTAACATATTTTTAACCTTTCTTCTCATTTTTTTTCCTTTAAAAAATCATAATATATCTTCTAATGATGTTTAAAATTAAAGTTAAACTATGAATTATCTATTGCTGAGATCAGTTATATCTTTTAAAATGTTTTAGGCTTTAAAATAAAAGATTCTAAAATAATTCTTTCTTATTATTTGCTCACTGTTACTTAGAAAAGTATGTATACTTATTGTCCAAATATCAATATCGTTAATTATTATTACTTTAGAAATTGATAGTTTGTCTATTTGGTTATTATTTTTTTATTAAGAATGGTTGATAAGACATATCTAAAAAAGAAAAAAAAGGTAAGATGGTGATCTTACATAGGAACCTTTGTTACCTTCTTACCTATTAAACCACGTGATTATCAATCAAAATAATATTTTCATAAATTTAAGTCTAAATATTTTATATTCATAAGATATATTTAACATCTAAATGTGTAGATATATATTTTAAGTAATTTAGAAAAAATGACCGAATCTTTACGATTCACGATTTATTCGATTCGCGATTCGGTACGAGGTCATTTCGATTCACGATACGAATCCCGATTTAACAACTATGGTGTCCGTATCTATATCCATGTCTTTGTTTGTGCTTTTTAAAAATTGGACAAAAATTGCAACAGCAAATGCGAGGCAAACCTTGCAATAGTTATTATATGTAGGGTGGCCTGAATTGGTCTAGCTAGCCTTCTTGATTTGAGACTGTTGGTTGCAATTATTCTTAGAAGATGTTGTGCACTAAACTAGGGCTCCAACTCAAGCAGTCTAAGAGTGCTAAGAGATATGTTCAAGTGATTACATTGGATTACCACTTGCAATGTTAAACATAAACATAATAAATTCTCATTACAAAAGTAATTATTCATCACCAATTACATTTATCATTCCTCCTTAGTTTTCACAAAAAACCAAATTGAAAAATGTGTACAAATATCTTTATTGTTTAGTTCCTAAAAGGTAAACCAAAATTTAAGATAAAATATATGTTCTCTACATATTTTATTTTTCTGTTTTAGTTTGATTTTTTGAGATTTGTATGTTTTAGTGCTGAAATATTGGAATTGGTAATGGTTTGTGCCTAAAGGGGAGTGAATAGGCCAAACATTGAAAATAAAATCACTTTCGAAATTATCGGCCAATTAATTGAGTCAATTTCATATAATGTTGATAGTATCAAATCACAAAAAATTAAAGTAATAAATAGAACATAATGATGCACAACGTGCGAGTAATGGTTTTTTTTGGAGAAAAATCCTAGTTTAGATCATTCAATTAAATGCCGACTAGATTCGAATATAAGACTATCCTAACAAGACCTTACTCCATTTCCATCTGAGCCCAAGACTGAGGGCTAGGCTATGTACCATGGATATGAGTAGGAAGTAGATATGGTTGGCCACAATCATACTATAGTGTTGGTTATTGTGAGTGTTTTTGGCAAGAGTGGCATGGCCATAACCTTGGTATTTAGACCATGAAGCACTAACACTTCAACTTATGTCTGACACGTGCTGGGCACTTACACTCCTTTGACATAAGGAGATATGTATTAGCTAGGTACAGGATAAGATACGATATAGCTACAACGATATGACAAAACTTGAAAAGTAAGATACGGGTACGTCGATGATACGTTTGTAAAAAAATAAAAAAATAAAAAAAAAATTATTTATCAAAAAAAATATATATATTTTTCATTTTTAGTTATGTAGTATGCATAAAAATAAAACCAAAACTAAGAGTACGTTAATAATTATTATTATTATTATTATTTTTCATTTTCATCACACAAGACATCACTTGGGAAGGTAAAATTAATGTAACATATTAATATTTCTAATATCATTTGCAACATAGTCCATTAATGTAAAATTCAAAGCCTTCACTTAAAAAAAAAAAAAAAAAATGCAAGAAAAGAAGTCTAAACTCACTCAATCAACAAAAATTGAAATAATGAAAATGTAACATGCAGATTGCCTATGAAATAAACCAAAACAAGAGGAAAATGAATCGATAAAGGAAACTAAAAATGAGAGAGAGAGAGAGAGAGAGAGAGAGTCCTGTTATTGTCGATCGAGGTAGAGAGTGTGTGAGAGATTGTTGTTGCTAGATCAAGACAGAGAGAGCGAGCAGGAGATTGAGTGATTGAGAGAATCTTGCTGCGATCGAGTTCCTTGCCCAGTTATAAAAACATATTTTTTCACCGTATTGGTGCTATGTCTCTATCATTATTTTTATTTTGAAAATTATCGTGTCTGTATCTATATCCATGTCTTTGTTTGTGCTTTTTAGAAATTGGACAAAAAGTGCTAGAGCAAATGCGAGGCAAACCTTGCAATAGTTATTATATGTAGGGTGACCTGAATTGGTCTAGCTAGCCTTCTTGATTTTTACATTAGTTATTTACTTTTTATTTGGCATGGGTTTTTGGTGTCTTTTTAGAAATCTCTGTTGAATATAGTTATTGTGGCATGTGTTACATAGAAATGGGTACGGGTGTCAGGTGCAGATATGTGTCCAAGTATCAGATTCATCTAATTTCTAAGTAGCATAGGCTCAAACACATGACATGATACTCGACATACCGCCGATACTGCAATTTTCAAAAATTGTAGGGTACAACATGTTTGGGACATGTTAAAATTTTATATTTTTATGAATTTATTATGTCACATATATAAATAATTTATTTAAAAGTAATGAAAAATATGTAACATAACACTAATTACATTAAAAGGGTATATATTTCATAACTTAAACATCAAGATATTATTCATGTAGCGATTACATTCCATAGATGTCAAAACAATTATAAGACATTGCAATACACATGATGTTTTCAGCTTATAAATTTTTCGAAACATATTTAGAGTGCATAAGTTGTGTTATGAAGAATGCAGAACATTGATATTATGAAGGGATTCATCATATAGGATGTGTTTGGAGGGTTTAAGAAGTGTTGCTGAAGTATTTGCGAAGTGTCGGTAAAGTTTATGATATTGTGAATTTGATTTTTTAATAAAGACATGTTGAAGTGTTGGACATGCTTTTAGGAATGTCTGAAGAGTGTCAATGTTCGACGCGGTTGTCAGACATGATATGTTTCCGTAGAAGTGTTCAAGTGTCCGTGCTTCTTAGTCTAATTCTCATTTCAAGGACACCTAGACATGGCTACGTGTCATATTTGTCAAGTACCTATTAGTATTTTAGGGGGAAAATGATGTTTAAAAGTAAAACATAGCATTTTATGTATAAATTGAAGACTTGTACATAGTTACATATTGAACTTGATTACTTGTACACACTTGTTGGGTGCATTTCCAATTAGGCCTATCGAACACGTATCCCATACCCTTATTCAAGTGTCAAGTGTCCTACATGGGTACTACTTCGCGATGAAGGAAAATGTAGAAAACATAGGTTGACCAATCATTCAATGGTTTCTGCACTTCAGCTGGAAGTCAGTGAAATAATCCACCAAATGGTCAGCTGAAGTGCAGAAATGGTACCACGACAGTGTTCAACTTACATGACATTACGCCTATGACTAGGAGGCCCTTCTTGTAGGAGAACACGCATTGGGTTGTACACATTTGTCTCTGGACCTTGTTATGCAAGTTGACTTGCTCTTATAAGTGATTGGGTGTACACGAGTATGCTCATTTTCCAAGAGTATCATTGATTCTAATACCTCCCTACAACTGTCAACTTACTGGTACATGGCAAAATAGGATTAGAATTTGGTTTTGTTTCAGTTGTTTGTGGTGTAAACTTTCAATCGTTAAGTTTAGAAAACCTCTGAACTTAAGCGAGTTGAAGTTTACATTAAAGAAGACAACTGACAGAAGGCTAAATTTTTAATCCTATTTTTACCATAATTAGTTTGTTTTCTACATTCGTTGAAAGCAAAAATGTTTAAAGGTTGATTTACTAGGTCTTTTAATAGATCATATCTACATGATAATTAATCTGTTGTTAGTGAATTCCATTGGTTATTGCTTGTGCAAATAAGTTAGTTGTGCTGAATTTTTGTAAATGCAGGAAAATCTGGTGGAGTTTGTATTTCTCCAGGTGGCCGGTTTCCCCCCTTTGCAAATGAAGGAAAACCTCCTAGCAAAGTAAGCAAGGGCCGTAAAGATTTGACCCTTTGCAGGGTGTTCCGTAAAAAGACATGCTGTGATGTTGCCCAGACACATCCAGCTTTGTTATCCATTAGGAGGCTGGCCTTAACAGGTGAAGCCAGTCAAGAGTGCTTGCAATTGTGGGAATTGTTGGAATGTTCTATTTGTGATCCTCATGTTGGTGTACAGCCAGGACCTCCTCTCATGTGTGCTTCTCTTTGTGATAGAGTGTACAAGGCTTGCTCTAATGCATACTTCTCTATGGATGCAATGACACAGGTTTGTAGTATTGTAAGATGTACAGATTTTAAGGAATCTGTAGGCCCTATTTGGATGGCTGGAATGGAAGACAATGAAGATAACCTCATTGGCAAGAATCACATTGCCACTATTTAGATACTCGGGATTGTTTTCTATAAAGAGTAGTTTAATTAGATTATGAACTGACGATATAAATACTCTGGTGACATAGTTCTAGAGTGAAACTTTTCTAGGATAATGGAGAATATTATTTATTTAATGGATAACCTGTCGTCTCAGGAGGGATTTTTAGGTTGTGTCTGGATCATGAATTTGTGGAGGGGAAAAAAAAAATTGAAGGGAAAAGTGAATGAAATAGAAGCTAATTTTTTTCACTTTTCCCTTTCCTTTTCTTTTTCCTCTACAAATTCAATATCCAAACATAGCCTTAAGGTTGGGCTCAAAAAATAAGTTTAACCACATCCCTTGACGCACTCTATTAATATTCTTTTGAAGATTATATATTTTTTTCTAGATTGGTACCTTAAGTTTCCTTGTCAGCTCTTGACAAATTCTATTTTTCTGATTAGATGTTATGTTCCAGGTTCTAGTGCCATGTGGAGTAGGTGACTTTGTTTGTGGTAGAGCTTCTGAATGGACCTCAAACGGTACAGAACTCTGTCGTGCTGCAGGTTTTGCTGTTAAGCCTTCTTATGATCATGATATGGAAGAAACATCTTGCTACGGTGGGAAGGCTAGTCTTGATTCCGTAGCTGATTCATGGCAAACTTCGCGATTTGGGGTGCCACAGAAAACTGAGAGCTCAGGAGTGTGGGAAGATTTTCAGCAATGGGCAAGGGAAATGCCATTCATTGAAAGAGTTTGTTGGGCAGTTGGAGGAATGGTTCTTACTGCAGGTCTTCTCTTTGCAAGGTTAGATCACTCTATTGGTAGTTATACATATTTATTTCACAGAGTTTAATGTTGAATTTGTGGATTCAGTGGTTCCTCAATCTTAAAGTCATGTTTCACTTGCTTGTCCTCCGTTCCCTTTTTCGCTTAATAATATGCTTCTACCATAGTTATACTGAGTCAACCGAGCCTGCAAAATTTTCTAAACCTAGAATATTGGTGCCGTTTGGTAACATTTACAATTTATTATTTTTTGTTTACAGAAAATGTTAAGCATGTTTATGTTTATTTTTGATAATAAATGAAAATAAAAAACATATTTGGTACACATGTATTTTCAAAAACTTGTTTTGAAAACAGGTGAGGTGGGTGGCCACAGTAGTGGCTCAAAGCGTAGGCTGCTTAGAGTTTCTCCAGTCGTATGGTATAATGCTGGCTATTGTCAAAAAATAGCATGAAGCTCAATATTAAGCTCTCCAATGGCTAAAAAAGACCTAACCATGGAGGGGTAACCTTTAGGGCTAGACTTTAAAAGGAACCGAAGCTCCATAGGTCACCCTTAGGTTAGGTGATTGTTACATAGCAGAGCCACTCAACTATGTAGTGGTAAGTCACGGACTCCTACATAGGTGAGAATTCGAACCCACACTCCTGACACTAGGTATGGTTCGCCCAAGCCTGGAAGGTTTGTTCTACCAACCATATGTGTTATCATCCGAGTGGCTGGCCCCGGCAAGAGTGGAACCTAGGACCTTAGGGCTTATGCCCCAAAAAGTCTTACCAAAGTGCCACACCCCTTGGGTTGCTCTCCAGTGGCTAGCTAAACCCTTTGCTATATTTTAGGATTGCTAAACTTTGTACCAAATTTGGCACAAGGTTTTGCTATTGCTAAAATTTGACGTCCTTTGTTTTTACCTCTCATGATGGACCCACATAGAATTTCTATTCGTCATTTTGTGAGCAAATAGAAGAAATAACACTTGCACCATTAGAACTTTGTACCAAATTTGGCACAAGGTTTTGCTATTGCTAAAATTTGACGTCCTTTGTTTTTACCTCTCGTGATGGACCCACATAGAATTTCTATTCGTCATTTTGTGAGCAAATAGAAGAAATAACACTTGCACCATTAGAGCAACATTGCTAAAATATAGCATTTTGACACTATTCATTGGTAAAATATAGCAATTACTAGCCATTTAGCTATTGGAGATGCTCTTAGGTGCTTGCCTAGGGCCCCGAGTAGAGAAGGGAAATTTATTTTTTGCTCCTGAGGCAAGATGAGGTGGTGCTCCAACTTGATTATCATTGGTTGAAACAGTGGGACCCATCATAACCCTTTTAGGAGACAACTGGACAAGTTTCACCCAATGTGATGTGGAGCAATGTTCTAAGACCACCAAATAAATCATTTATGTAGTGTGTCTATACACAAAATAAATCATTTATCAAAAGAATTCTCAAAAATCAAAGTAGCCAAAAATCTATCAGTAAATTAAAAACAATAATGTCAAATCTTAAATTATCATAACAGTTTACCACTTCATCAGGCAGTCTTTCGGTCAAATAGAAAAGAGAGCAAAACAAACCCTCTCATTGGATGCCAAAAAAGCACCTCTTTATTACATTTACACCTCTTTCATTCTCTCGGTTAATACAAAAAAAGGGCCTTCATACATTTCTCTTCACAGTATACTTCTCCACATTACAACTAAAATAGAAATCTTATCATTGCTAGCTATCTTGATCATATCAAATGACAAATTTATTAAACAATTTTCGCCCTACAGTTCTCTGTATATGGAGTTTTTTGATGTCACCGTTGTTTGGCAAAAATCTTATTGAACCTTATTATCTTACTATTTCGTAATTCTGATATTTATCTGGTAAAATCTATTGGAGCATGCAGTAAAAGGAAGAGCAATAGTCAGCGCCAGAAGCAAGCAGCTATTCAACGCGCTGCTAGGAAACTTGAATCGAGAACAAGCCCAAAGTCTCCTGTTACTCGTGGAAATAGAAAGGGAGGTGGAAGATAAATGTCCCCTTTGCATGTGAACATATTTTTCCCGATGTTTATTTGCAGGTTTGTTTTGCAATATTGTATTACACCAAATTTTGTTTTTTCCCTCCCTTTATGTGTTACATAATTACATTAGTTTTGTAAGATGTTGGAGTCCACAATTTTCCTTACAAAAAATTATGCAGTATTGTTTGTTTGATTTTGTTCGTGCTTTTATCTATTTGGACAACAAAAAAAGCAGCTAATAAGGGTCCATGCTTGACAGAAGTTCACTTCCTCAAGTTGTTAGAAGAAATCAGAGGTCACGAGAAGATGGGTTTGGCCTCTGTACTTATAGCAATGGACAAGGGTCTGTGGTTCGTTAGGTATAGCAAGTCATGTTAATTTTCCTCTGTTGTGGATTTATTTTGTTTTTAGTTTTAAGATTAGAAAGGTTTCTTAAAAGAACTATTTGCATATAGAAAATTGTCCACATGAAGTCAAATTTCTTCCTTTTGATGTCCTCAATACTTGTTACAGTCCTGAAAGAATTTTACTATCTGTTGTTTACTTGATTTGGTTGAATTGTTTTGTTTGATCATTTCTTTGTTTGAGGACATATAATTTTTTGAGGACATATAATTATATATAAGAACTTAATAGCATGAATATGAAGTATAAGGGGAGAATAGTATTAATTGATTATTCAGTAACAACTAACTAGCCAATCTTGTATTTGTTTTGGTTTTGACTTTGGCCAATCTTTAAAAGTACACTATGTTAGCTAAATGGGTTTCTTTGTATGGAAATAGATATCAGAAAAGATGCACACGCCAATGTGCCGGTGTCTATATATTGCTTTTCTTAATATGGAATGGAATGGAGGATGCTGTCGTGTACAGACTGTTTGATAAAGTTGTCAGTAGCATCCCAAAAAATGATTACAGGGCAGGTGTTAGTTTATTGAAGTTGGGAGGGAATTTGTAACAGTTAGGATATCTCTAGGTTTTGAATGCGGCGGTGGTGGTGGTGATGGTTAGGAGATGGAAGCAGGGTTTGGTGAGCATTTAGTGATTTTTTGGACTTAAAACTGATTATTATACAGTTTCTGGGATCTAGTTTTCCAACCACCAAAACCTTATTGAAATGTGATACTGGTTTTGAGATTAGGATTTATCACCAGTACTTTTGTGTTGAGAAAGCAGGAAAATTGAGGATTTTGATCAGCAATGAAATAAGTGAATAGATGATCAATTACTTGGATGGAGTCATTGGGAATTAGGGTTGCAACTTGGGTTGGTTTGGGCGGGCCAATGGTCTTTTGGGTTTCAGCCCGAAGTGTAGAGGCATTTGCCCAAGCTCAAGCTAGAGCCTGATTTTACCTGAACTTTTTGCCCAGGCCCAAGTTACCTGTTAACTCAGAATTCTACTTGGCTCGGGTTGCCTAAATTCAAATGCAAAAAATTTATCTTTGGTCGTTCTATATTAATGTATTGTACTTATTGAAAAGAAAAGAAAAGAAAAGGAAAAGAAAAGTATCTCTAATCCAAATGGTGATGAAATAATATAATTTGTATACATTAATAATAGAATTCGAGTTGTGAAAACTCTTGCTCAAGTACTAGTTAATTCGAGTTGACCAATTTTAGCTCAAGTACTAACTAAATTAAAATTATACAATTCAAGACCAATTTTTTTTTAGGATACTTATGTGTAGGTTTTAATAAGTGGATTTATTATTGTCTAGTAGGTCTTATGGGAAAAATTTATCATAAAAAAATTCACTAATAGTAAGTTTTAGCGACAATTTATAAAAATCATAACACAAAAAAGTTACTAATTATCAATTTTTAGCGACATATGTAAAAAATTGTCACAATTATTTTTAGCGGTAATTTTATCAAGGCTTATTTTTAATAGGATTTGATAAGAATTAAATCTAACTATTAAGATTTATTGGTAGTTTATCCTTTTTTTCAAGTCAAACTCAGTTTGTTCGACTTAGACCCACACAAGTTACACTCTTGACTTGAAATTTGTAAGTTATAGAAAATATTTAGAGGGAAATGATGAGGATGGTGAAGATGATTGTTACAAGAGATTTGGGGTTCATTAATTATTCCTTTGGTGTTCATTAATTATTCTTTAGGACTTTGTTTGATTAGCAAGATTAATAGTGAATTGATTAATAATTTACATCGAAAAATTTAAAAAAAAAAAGGTCATCGATGTATTGATTTGTGATTATGATTCAATTTTAAACAATAAATAACAATTTTAATCAAACAATCAATAACAAATCAACACAACGATTTAACGTGAAAAAATCACAATTGAACTCCTCTAATTGTGATAAAAAAAAATATGGGTTAAAATCACAAAACAATCAACTAAAAAAACAAAAAAGAATTACACACGAGAACTCAATTACCTAGTGAATTCACACCTGAATTGAACTGAATCTGATGTGTTTCTTCCACCGTTGTCTTCACCTTAGAATTGCTTTGCCCAACGTTGAATCCACAACATTAATGTCAAATTCACAATGATGAGTTACTTTGGAATCCACCAAAGTTTCAGACCCAAGTTCTTCGAAATCCACCGATGAACACCTCTTTTTTTTTTTGTGAATGAAAAAACAAAACAATCCTTGATAATAGTCAATATGTAATTCGTTGATCAATTGATTATTCTCAAATCATCAAGGAAACCAATATATAAACACCTTCCAATATAGAACACTTTGTTTTTCTTCCCTTCTTAAGAATCTGGATGCGTTTAACCCTAAAACGAGCAAACGACACAATTTATATTAAATAGAATCGCGAAGACTGCTCGAGCGCTCACTTTACCGCTCGAGCAGTGTGACTAAAGGCGGTGCTCACATATAGGCAAACCGCTTGAGAACATCTACTACTTGAGCGGTAAAACATGTTTATCAGAAGTTTAGAATTCAGGCAGAGATACTAAATAAACCACTTTACCGTTTGAGCGCACAAATGACCGCTCGAGTGGTCAAACAACGTTGAATTCTTTCGTGCTTAGTCAGCGAAGTAGCAAATAAGTTCAAAACAAGATACAGAATGTCAGCACAAACTCCTCTATTCAAACACAATTTGTATTGGATTTGCTTCTAAACTCTCATAACTCATAGATATAACAGAGCGAATAAAAATACATCTGAATGAAATTTTGTCGAATGTGATTGCCAAACCTAACTTACCGGATTAGTGTGTTGTTAGTTATGTAGTTAGATTAATGAGATAAATAATTTTCTTTTGTTCACGTTTGTTTGGCAATGAATATTACATATTTTCTTTGCATTATTAGATATAGAATTAAAAAATTTGTCACTTTTATTGTATTGAATATCAATCGAAATCTAATCTGAATAACACAAATTATTTTACGTAATTTGACATAGTTTTTTTTGATGTTGAGAAGCTTCGACTATCAATTAGTTCACAATAAATCTTTCTCAAAAAAAAAAAAAGAAGAAAAAGTTCAAAATAAATAAATAAAATTCAGGTATCATTAATCAAACGTAAAAGAGACCAGAAATGCCACAAACTAGTCGACACAACCCATACTCATCATTCGAATGGCATCAAATCGGCCCCCATGCAGTTGGTGGTATATCAAATTTAACCCCCCAAAAATGAAAACTTTGACCATGTATTCTATATTCATCAATTTTCATTCTCTGATCTGTTTAAATCTTAGATTTATAAAGAGAAAAGAAAAAGAAAAAAAGAAAAAATCTACTTTATTTCTCTTTACCTTCCCAGTGTCTAATTAGCAGAAATGATCACACATCTGTATTGCCTAATTTAGGGAAGGGAAGAACTTGAACATGATGGCTTAAATAGACTCTAAACCCTCATTTTTCTGTTTTCTAGGCTTTTAAATTAGAAGTCTTCTACTTCTGGAAATTGTTTCCAAGCCTCTGGCTTGCCATCGTCTACATGAAAACATACCCCCAAAAAAAAAATTTCAGCAGAACACAACATATCATCGATGTACAAATATAAAATCACCCAAAATTATGGCAGGCTCATCATCCACAATCGGCATTTCCAAATTGAATGCCGATTTATCGGATATTGTGAGTATATAAAGCAAGCAACCAACCAAAGACTAAAAAACCTCAGTGTTCTTGCACAGAAGATATCGCCCGTGTCTTGCTGATTTACAGATCTTTTTTGTGTTTTTTGATAATTTCTGTTGCACTCGAAAACTATCTGAAAGCTTCATAATCTCTTGATAATCTCATCTGTATTTGGATTAAATACGACAGCTTCTCCACAAAAAGCTCATCTATTAGCTGAAACATTCACTAACAAAAAGAACTGAGCTCGCTGCTCTTCCCTATCGACCCAAAGAAATCTTCAAACACACTCAGGTCTTTCCAAGTTTTGGGGGCTGTTGGACAAGGAAAAAGCAAACACAAAATAAATAAACTTCCAGGAAGTGAATAGAAAAAATATAAATAAATAAATAAAATGGCAAGATCTACAATAATATTCAAAATTCAACAGTGAAAAAAAATAAGGGTCCTCCCCTCCACATTAAGCACAATAAATAAATTAAAAAAAAATGAAACAAAGATCCGGTAAATGTGAATTTACCTTTTTAAGGGGTGTCTTAGAACTGCTAGGTGTTTGTTTGTAATCAAGCGGTTTTAATATCTCAAAAGAGCACACTAGGGATTTGTCAACACTCAATAGAGCACCTGCATTATCAAACTCCCCACCGTAGTTTGGCGCTGAAAATATTGTGACTAGCCTTCGTTTAGCGAAAAACTCATATCCATCCTCCACTACCTGCATTTCATTTTTTTTTTTTAACTAATCACAATGCTGACCACTTCAATTAAGTAATTATTAGGCTCTTGTAGTTAAATGTGGACAAAACCAATGCAACATGCAGTGCGATGACGACAAACCCATAAAAAAAAGGTAGAACGATTTTTTCCCCCCTCCCCTAATTGAGAGGACTTTGCTCGTTTTAAATCAGACTACTAAATTTGAAGGGCTTCTGAGCTCATCAGAAAATTATGCTTCAGCCGAAAGAAGTCAAAGAAGAGATCAAAGTGGCATATATAAGTGAGCTAGTTTAATCAAAAGATACAGATTTTGGATAGAAATGGAAATATTGTTTTTGAAGAGTTAACAGCCTTAACCTTGACAATATTTTATTCGTTAAACCATTCTCTGTACGTATTTATTCTAAAAAAGACCCCTGATGAGTAAATTGAACTGGGTCGGATCATACCAACAAACCTTTTCAACATGTCAAGCAACTAGGAAGAATGAAGTAGGAAGGCTTTACAAAGCTTCTATTTTTCCAATTTGTCTACTACTAAGCAAACTGGAAACTGGTATTTGAGCACACTAAACAAGAAATTTGATTACCTGATGACCCCGGCAAATGAGATCTAGGTCATTCTTATCCAAAAACTCAGCCACCTTGTCAGCTCCAAAAGTACATGAAACACCTCGATCACTATCTGCCCAACCATCAACTCTAGGGTCTGGATCAGACCAGAGTAGATCGCATAGGAGACCATTGTCTGGAATATCAGTTGGCCTCTGAATTTCCGTTATTTGATTCAAATTTTGTAACTCTGGAGAAAGTCCTCCGTGCATGCAAAGTATCTTTTCATCAATGAGGGCAGCGACTGGCAAACAATTAAAGCAGTCGGTGAATATCTTCCAAAGCCTAACGTTGAATCTTCTTTTACATTCATCATAAAATCCATAAATACGATTGATCTTTGCATCTTCGTGGTTTCCCCTTAGAAGGAAAATTTTGTCGGGATATCTTATTTTGTAGGCCAGGAGCAAACAAACTGTTTCCAAACTTTGTCTTCCCCGATCGACATAATCACCAAGAAAGAGGTAATTTGCAGCAGGAGGAAAGCCGCCATATTCAAAAATTCGCAACAAGTCTTGGTATTGTCCATGTATATCACCTGTATGACACTTTCAATATTAGAAGAATTAAGGGTGACAAGGAGAAACACAGCAACAAATAACATTAGCAGCAAAGGATTACATGTGCTAATTTAACAGTAATTTCTCTTAAAAATCGTTGATGCATCATAGTATATGATATGGATCTGGTTGGCCTTGCTCATGCCAATATACCAAAACCATTTCTCGCAGATTTCATTAGAAAGAAGCTCTAAAAAAGTGCCAGTTTTTTGGTAGGTTATACTCAATTCCAGAAAGGAAAAAAAAAAAAAAAAAAAAAAAAAAAAAAAAAAAAAGCGGGAAAAAAATGTAAGAGAGTGAAATGGATATACTCATTTAAGGTTTATTTTTACTTGTACTATCTCTTTCAGGTGGTTCAATGCAGAATCATCAGTGCCAACATTCTCCCAATAACACCTTTATTTTATTTATTTATTTATTTATTATTAATTTTCTATTATTAGTTATAGTTCCTTCTTCTTCTCAAAGGCAGCAAAATGGATTGCAACCCAATGCATACAAAGCCATAACCTTTTTTTACAAGAACAACTTTGCTACATACCCCTACTAAATTATCAATTTTTCTAGGCATCGAGCCGCAATTACGTGTATAGTTGGTAAAAAATTTGGTAATTCTCAGTAGGATATCTATCATTTTCCTTACAAGGAATGTAGAATCTTATTTAGTTATGAATCCAGAAAAAAGACACAAGGTATGAATTCTCCTTCACCCTCCTCAACACTCCTTCACATCATAGCAACAACCCAGTAACAGTCTTTCACACCAACACATACAAATAATCCAATCATCCAACAAATACAATTTTCTCTTAAAATTGTCCAAATCATATACAAATTCTCCTAAAAAAAATGTAAAAACAGAAGATCTTTATTGAATCCAATACCCAGATTTAGAGAGACCCAAAAATTCCTTTAAACATGAATATATACGGGACACGCAAATATAAAACCAAACACATTGAACACAAGTCCTACATGTGCAATTCTCATTTAATTGCTCAAATCCATATATCACAAACAGACAAAATAGCTTTCATAAATATGTTTTGCACAATTCAATCTCACATCTAGAGAGAGAGAGAGAGGGAGAGAGAGTGACCACAGATCCTGATGGGGGCATGGAGCTGGAGAAGATTGGGCTGAGAGAGGAAGATTTGGCGAGCGTTGACGCAGAGCTGACGGATCTCACCTTCCGAGAGCTGAACCTGTTTTCCACCCTTTCCCTCCAACAACCTCCTTATTATATCTTCCAAAACACCCCTATCCATCATTCCCTCCATTGTCATCATATTCATTTTTTTACCCAATCCACAAAAACCCACCACCACCACCACTCCTCCTCCAAACACAACCCACTTCCTAATACAAACAATCAAGATTTGGGATTTGGATAATGGGTTTGGTCATTGATTTGATGAAAGATGATGTCTATTCTATATGGGGCATGTCATTGTCCCTACCCAAATCATGCGTGCTCTGCTCGTCTCTGTTTTTTTGTTTGTTTGTTTGTTTTTTTTCTCTCTGTCTCTCTCTATTTCCATTCCAATCTCTCTGTACAAAATCAGTATTCTCTCTCTCTCTCTCTCTCTCTCCTCTTTTTTTTGCCTTTTTCTCTTTTGCCAACTGCCGTTGCGGTTGAAACCTTCAAAAAAGGTAAATTGGACTCTTGACTAAATGGCGCGGGTGCGCACGATAGTGGACTATGGATAAGTCTACACGTGGATGCTGCCGATGGAGTGATTGTCACGGTTCACAAAAAGCGAAACCGCGTTAAAAAAAAATTTATTTATTATTATTATTAAATTACACTAAACATCCCAAAGTTTGTTGTTATTGCATTACTACCATTGAAGTTCTGGTTTAATTTGGAAAATAATTTTTGAGAGTTCAAAATTTAAAATTTGTTTGGTTTATAATTTTTTTTTATTACTTCTTTTCTCATTCTCTCATATTTTAAATATCAATCAATCACTTTTTCTTTCTTCTATCTCATTGTCTCATATCTTATATATCAATTAATCATTTTTTTTCTCTTGCACTCATTTATTCAACTAAAAAAAACTACAAATCATTCCAAACTACAAAACTCCACCTACAAAATTATTTTCAAAATATATAACCAAACAAAATTTCAGATTTTGAAAATTCTTTTAAAAAACTTATCTTTCAAAACTAAATCAAATGCAACATTTATTTTTCACTCAAATAAGTTGCATCTTGCGAAAAGTCTAAGCCAAAAGATTTAAATGCCTAATGTTCTTCATTTTATATTTTTTATTATGAATATAACAAATTAGACATTGTTGCTTACAAATTCTCAATGTCTTGTATAACTTTTTCATTTCACTTTCAAACAACAAATCTTTTTTTGTTGGTAGATATTGAAAGTTTCCTGCGTAGATAGTAAAATTTCACTATATTTTTGTACAATAATTTTAAATGATGGGTAAGAAAATATAAGAACCAAAAAAGGAGCTAGTAAAAAGAATATAGGAAAAAAAACCTTTGAATTTTACCTTTGATGTTGTGGGAGCTAGAAAAATATAGGTACTAGCTTATTAGGCCTAACCCAAACAAAGCCTACAATGGGTCCAGCCCAAACAAATATTACACCCCCATCTATATAAAGGAGGGGGCATCCCAAAGTGGAAGGTATGTCTCATCTCTCTCTACAAAACACACACTCCTTCAAATGTATATACTATTTACTTCCTTGATTCAATGACTAACTTCATCATTGGAGAGTCCCCGGCCGGCAACCCCGGTTGGGTGGCACCGACTATGTTCATCATTGCAGATCTACAAGGGTGAAGCTCTTCTCTTCGTTGGATCTCTACAACATCCATATGAGAGGATATTTTATGGTATCACAATTGGTGCCGTCTGTGGGAACGACTGAACGAGATCAATGAAGAACACAACAAACATATTACTGTAAGTAAACGTATATTGGTTGAATTGAGGTTGGTGCACTTTTTACAAAATTAAACTCAATTCTAAGTAATACGGCCCATAGCTGGGCCTTTTATTTTCATTTTCATTCAACTTGATTCGCAATGTGCATATCTACGTACATATAATATTACATATCTGTGATGCCAGTTGTGGTGGGTTGATTTTTTGAATATCATTTTTTGTGTAGCTAAAACCAACAAGAACAAAAACAAAGCAGATCATTTTCACTTATTCTCTCTAAAAATAGGTTTCAGCTCTTTTCGGCATCACTAATGGGGTTACTTAACCAAATTCATGCATGATCTATTCATTTAATTCTTAATATGTACGAACGTGTATCTACTAAAAAAATAAAAAATAAAAAAAATAAAGTGGTCTTCACTTTTTCTCTCTCTAGACTAAATTGACATAAATAAAGCCATGAGTTATTATCACAAGTAATTTAACATTTTTTACTTCATAATTTATGAGAGTATGAAGCAATCTATATTGTATTTTTTCATAATTTTTTTTCATAATTTTTTACTTTTTCTTT